TTAGCGAGTAAACGCGCGAAACATATGGTATATATAGAGTGCTAAAATATTGCATACCAAAAGTTTTCAAAACAAAAATAAGGAAACATAATTTTTTCCTAGAATTGAACCATTTGCACGCATGGTTCATTTGGTGCGTACACATAATAGACTCCAAATAGCTCGAGCCAACCCCAATAAGGTTTGAGTGTAGGCCATGTGTACACATTGTATTGCCATTTTTTAACCAAATTGTATATTGGTCCCTAACTTTTTCAAGTGTGTATTTTGATCATTTTTGACAATTTTTTCATCTCGTTGGCTTCTCTTCATCTCCATTTGACCCTTGACATTCTTGAATCGCCATCTTTCAATCTGACACAACTATTGAAATGTTACACTTTAGTCCCCATAGTTTAGATTTCATAATTTTTCTTCAATTTTTCGTTCTTTCTTTCGATTCTTGATGTAATCATAGAGTTTTACCTATTAAACACAATATAACACAAATTTGACCCTAATCCATTAAAAAAAATAAAAAAGAATATCATCATTCAGGATCCTGAATAAGTATAGAAAATATATACTTATCACTTATATGCCCCTTGTGAGCAGGAGAACAATTTTGCACCTTCACATACCAATGTTTTTATAACTATTTTCTTAATATCCAAAAGAATCAGTCACCATTTCATTTTCATATAAAAAAATAACTTTTTTTTTCTTTTTAATTCAACTATTGCTCCATAAATTAATATTCAATCGAGCCCTCTTATTGTATCGTGATATATAATTTCTTTTATTCCAAATTATATAATTTCATTAGTATTATTTATAGATTATTCTCTTCCGTGGATTTTTCTCGTAGAAAAATAATAATTCATCCACAATAGATACAAATAGAATAACGTATCCATTCTTAACAATTTTTGAAGTTGCAAATTTACTCCAAATTAAAAAAGAATAAGATATTACTTTCTAGTTAGAAATTACAACTGATATAATATCAATTGAAATATTTTGTTAATTACATAGTAATTAAGAATTTTTATTGTTTTTTATAATGTTGAAAGAGCCGAATGAAGTATTTTCTAAATTTTTTTAATATATTATTAACTTACTAAGCCCCTGTTTTGTAAAGATTTTTTGAGAATAGACTTTATGAATATTGATTTTTATTTATTATTATTTTTATTGCAAGTAGCTTTTTTGTAACCATTGGCAAAATACCGTATGTAAAATGTAATTTTTAAAATACAACAGGTAAAGTGTAATAACACTTTATATACATGGTGTATTTGGTAATTTCACTATCTTTGTATTAAAAGATAAAAGAAATATAGTCCATATTTGAGTCATATTATTTAACAACTAATTTTCAATCATATATTTTCTCAATAAAATAATTTTACACATAAACCTAAATTTTTTCCTTATGTTTTACCGTACATTCTAAAAAAATTACTATTACAAATTCATTTACCTAAAAAATTGATGTTCAAACACTTCCATGTTTTTTTATTATAACACTATCATGACATGACATTGTGGAAATTTGTTTTCCATATAAATTAAGGTATGCTTCTGCTTTTAATCCATACAATTAGAGGTGTAAGCAGTCCGATTTTTACGGTTTTTGACAAATTCTCAAACCAAACCGTTTTGACCG